AGTGCAGTGGCATGCTCCCGGTCACTGCAGCCTCGACCTGCTGGGCTCTGGCGATCCTTCTGACTCAGCCTTCCAAGTAGCTGGAACTATAGGCAGGCGCTACCATGCCCGGCTAATTTTTTGATTTATTGTAGAGATGAGGTCTCGCCAAGTTGCCCAGGTGGATCTCGAACCTGTGGGCTCAGACAATCCACTCACCTTAGCCTCCCAAAGCACAGGATTACAGGTTGAGCCACCGAGCCTGGCTTAATTATCTTATTTTCATTTAATCTTATTTTTAGAGACAGGGTCTTGCTCTGTTGCCCAGGCTGGAGTATTGTGTGTGGTACCTCATTGCCCTGCCTGTTGGAGCTCCTGGGCTCAAGTGATCCTCTTGCCTCAGCCTCCTGAGTAGGTGGGACTACAGGTACATGCCACCACACCTGGCTTGAAGTTCTTAATATATTTTAAATAAGGATCCCTGCTTTTTCTTTTTTGAGTCAGAGTCTCACTGTGTCCAGGCTGGAGTGCAGTGGCATGACCACAGCTCATGGCAGCCTCGATCTCCTGGGCTCAGGCAATCCTCCTACCTTGGCCTCCCAAGTAAGCTGGGACTACAGATGTGTGCCACCATGCCTAGCTAATTTTGTGATTTTTTTTTTTTTTTAGAGATGAGGTCTTGCTCTATTGTCCAGACTTGTTTCGAACTCCTGGACTCAAGCATTTCTTCCACCTGGGCTTCCCAATGTGCTGGGATTACAGGTGTGAGCCACTACATCTGGCCAAGGGCCCTGCTTTTTCTTTTCTTTTCTTTTTGTTTGTTTTTTTTTGAGTTGGGGTCTCACTCTGTCACCCAGACTGGAGTGCAGTGGCCACTCCCGGCCACTGTACCTCGACCTGCTGGGCTCCGGCGATCCTTCTCCAGCCTTCCAAGTAGCTGGAACTACAGGCACGCGCTACCACGCCTGGCTAAATTTTTTTGGATTTATTGTAGAGATGAGGGCTCACCAAGTGGCCCAGGCGGGTCTCGAACCCGCGGGCTCAGGCAATCCACTCACCTCAGCCTCCCAAAGGCGCGGGATTACAGGCTGAGCCACCGAGCCCAGCTTGCTTTTTCATTTTGTAATGGGTCCCACAAATTCTGTAGCCAAGGTTTCCTGGTTAGGGCAGCGGTTGTGGGAACAGAGAACAGTGACCAGGATCTATAGGTCAAGAGGTTAAGAGGTCAAATAGGGCTTATTGAATGATTCACTGGATGAGGAGTGGGGAAGAGGGAGAAACTGGGTCGACTCCCCAGAGTCCGGTGGTACTTTTGATCAGTAAGATAGGCAATGAGGGAGGATGCAAGGCTCAGGGAAAAGGGAAAATAATGAATTCCATTTTATTTATTTATTTGAGTCAGAGTCTCACGCTGTTGCCCAGCCTGGAGTGCAGCGGCATGATCATGGCTACCCTAGGCTCGTTTCTGGACTCAGGTGATCCTTCTGCCTCAGCCTCCCAAGTAGTTGGAACCACAGGTGTGAGCCACTGCACCTGGCTCACTTTTAAATTTATTGTAGAGAAGAGGCCTCCCCATGTTGCCCAGGCTGGTCTTGAACCCCTGGACTCAGACATTCCTCTAGCTTCCGCCTCCCAAAGGGCTGGCATTACAGGCGTGAGCTGCCCTGCCAGTTGGAGGTGCCTGTGGGGTGTGCTAGCATCCCAGCCCCTCTCTCCCCAATTCTCCCAGCCCCATCTCCCTCCCACATGGGTGGGACCCAGGCCCTGCTCCCTCCCCTCCCTCCTAAGGGGCCACTCTTGCTCCTCATCTTTCTGCATCCCCCCGCCCCCACTTTTTGAGTTAGATTGACTTGAGAATTCCTGGTTGGGCTCCATTTCTGAACCCACAGTGATCTCTGCCCCCAGCGTCACAGTTGACAAGTCCAGGAGCCCCCCCTCCCCCCTCCCCCT